ACCTCACATTAGATGGTTATTCATTAGGTTCCAGTTTCTGTAGACAAAACCTGCAGAAGGGAGGAGTGTGCATTTTTGTTAAGAAAGATCAATGTTTCAACAAAATTGATATTTCACAACACTGTAAAGAACAGGATTTAGAAATTTGTACAATTCAGCTAGAGACAAAAACAGCTTAGTTATATTAAGCCTGTACAGAGCTCCATCAGGTAATTTTCAACAATTTCTAAGGGGACTAGATGCTACTCTAAAGTATCTGTATAATCCAAAAACTGAATTTTTAATCTGTGGCGACATGAATGTAGACTATCTAAATGAAAACTGTCGGAAAAAACATTTAAACTCACTACTAGCAACATATAATTTGATACATACTGTAAATTTTGCAACAAGAATTCAAAATGACTCAAGAACAGCAATTGATAACATTTTTGTGGATAGTATAAGACTTAGCTCAACTTCTACTTCTCCCATAATAAATGGACTATCAGACCATAATGCCCAGTACCTTATGATTAATAATATTGCTGCAGATACCAACTTAATACCTTTGAAGCAGAAGAGAAGAAAAGTAAATAATGAAAAAAATCATGCAGTTTCAGCTTCTTCTGAAGAATGAAACATGGGAATCTATTTATGAAGTCAATGGTACCAACAAAAAGTTTAACTCATTTTTGTGTACTTTTATAAATATTTTTGAAGTTAGTTTCCTTATTACATATGAAACTATAGGCAAAATAAAGAATGACTGGATTACGCAAGGAATAAAAGTATCTTGCAAGAATAAAAGGAGTCATATGTAGTCTTTCCCCATCTTGTTGGGAAAATGTTTCTTGTTCATTCCCATGGCTTAAAAAGTCTGAACAATATAAATAGTCTTGTGAGATCTGCAAGTAGCAAGCAACATTACATATGTCATACAGGAAGATTAGTGTGAAGATTCCGTCTAATGAATTAGTGTTCCACACTGCATGTTTCAGGACGCAGAGCACGGGGATCATCAGTGCTTCAGATATGCATATTGTATTTATTTATATGTCCATTTATAGGATATTGAGTTTCAGAGAATGTGTCGAATAACTGTTTGCTCTTCTTCTAAATATTGATGAAATGAATCACAAAAGATGATTTAGCTATCTTCGTCAACATCCATCACTTGTTGTAGGATCTAAATTTTATAAGCAAATATTTTTAGGTCTTTTCCGATTGTTTTAAACATTTAAACCAACCTCTTGTGACAGCCATTTTACAGACTTTCCTTGGCTGCGCACAAGTGCGGCGTACATGCTGTTTCTTTTCATGTACCTGAAAGATGCAGAATGTCTGATCAATGCTGCCTGATTACATAAAAATGTTCGGTGGTAATCGAATATAATTCCATGCATGTATTCAATTAACCTTGATGGAGAATGTTGTATTTAGAATGAAATAGTTACCCCCACTTTATGAGGTCTTCTCTTTAATCCACAGAGAGAAAACCTCCTGTTATGTAGTGACATGGGACCCACATAATATGGCCTTTTCACTGATTTATTTTTAAGCACATTTGAAACTAAAGGCTATTCAAATATACCTATTGGCTTCGCTATGACTATTAATCTGTCCATATGTAAGAACTTGGGAAGAAACAGATAATTTGAATTTCAAGATGTTTTATGTTAGGGAATTTTTCTATTTGAAGAGACATTTCAGTTTTGTTCAGTGTCATGATTGCAACATTTGGTATTTTACATTAAAGCCTAATGTGCTTTTGCTTGTGAAAGTGAGTTTGTGGTAGTAGTAAAGAATCGCCAACTAGCTACGCAACCACACTGAGAAAATCTAAGCTGTCATTCTTCATATTGATATCATCTGCCATCCAAACAGAGGCCAGGCACCCTACTCAAGCTAAGGTCACTGGCAACATTCACAAAGGCCGAATTGCTGTGAATATGTCAGGATGGTTGCACTTGACACACTTGTCCTCTTTTTTTGCCAATCCTACTTGTTCAGTGTTTATGATATTCTGTTCTTGGGCTAAAGAGATTCATGGGTTACAAGAAGTTATTAAGCATTTGATGCAAGTTCATTTATATCCAACTAAAATGATAATTAATTTAGTTGGATGTGAGTGAACTTGAGGTTAAATTATTTTAGATTCTCCTTTCACTCTTATCTGTACTGTTTATTGAACCCAGTACATGGTTAACTATATTGCTTGAAAGATTTTTATCAGAAGGTTCACTATATTGCATATAATTGTATGTCACCATTATAGCGACATCTGTGTATCCTTCCTTTACGATGCTTTAGATATCAATAAATGGATTGGTTAACCTCTCTTTTTTCTCTCCCCATCAGACTAAGCAATGTGAGTAGGGTTTTCTAACAACAAATCTGGTTGGATGAAGCAAACTTGAACTTTGACATCATGTTATGGAATGTGAATATGTGGTTTGAATATGTAACTCTTATGCATTTCTGCATGTTGTCAGTCAAGAGTTTGTTTACTATGTATAAATTACAATCCTGGCAAGTGTGTAACCTATTTGTCTCTAATGTATGTAAGAAATCATTTAATCTAAAAAGTGCTCTGAAGACACATCAGCTTACGCACAGTGGAGAAAGGCCGTTTTCCTGTGATTACTCTGTCGATGAATTTCAAATGTTTACAAGTAAGTCGTAATTTACCTATTGTATCCTTTGTTTATATTTTTGTGACATTTATATGACTTGTATTTGTATAACATGTATTGTATTATTATGACTTATTCTACATCCTATTGTCATCTGACTAACTTATGGATCCATGGAATGTAATAAAGATGTATGTATGAGGAGCATATACATATGCTAGCTGAGCGATTGCAAGAGGCTTACCAAGTAGCTGGGAACATTCTAAAAATGAGTCATAAACTTGCAAAAAAAAAATACTACGATAGGAAAATAAGAGGGGAATGTTTCAATAAAGGAGATTTAGTATATTTGTAAAATCCTATTTTTAAAAGAGGGAAAGCTCAGAAATTTTCATATAAGTACGAAGGCCCTTATGAAGTAGAAATTAAAATATCGCCTTTGGTATATAAAATTCGTGTAGACGGAGAAAAGTCAATAATTGTTCACATAAATCGCTTGAAAAGAGCGCAGGGAAATAAAACGAGTTGGGAGGGAGATCACACTAAGCTAGAAGGGAAGTCTAAATTTAATGTAATCCAAGAGGAAGTAGTTAGTGGCAGAAAAGTAATTACTCCCGATTCAGTACATGTGCAACAAGGAGATAGTGAACCTAGAAGTCCAGGGGTTCGAGATTCAGAAGACTATAGTTGGGTTGAATCACCTAACTATGAGTATGGAGACAAAGAAATAGACTGGGTTCCAGATACACGATATTTTAAACGGAAATTGTTTACAGAAACAGATAAATCCGCAAGAACAACGACACCCGAAATGCCTTATCAATTACGCCCTAGAGCAGGACGTCAGCCAGAAGAAGAGTTAAGTAATAAGTTAGGAGGCAGTAGGCCTATTAATCAACCGGAAGTACCTGAGGAAATAATAGAAACGCGGCCGATAACAGAAACCGAATTAGTACAAATTCCTACACAATCCGTTTCACATTCGTATAACTTGAGGAGTCGAACTCGGTCTACCTGAAATAATTATATAGGCAAATATGAAAAGTATCAGGAACTAGCCATGTGAGTAAAAGTAACCTTTTGTTACAGGTATCATCTGTTGGAGGGGGGAAGTCATAGCTGCCGAACCAGAATCAAAACAATACGACAAAAGACTGGTATTTATGAAATAGGGATATACTACTCACCGGAGATAAATGGACCATTGCAGTGAATGTAGCCTTAGATTATTATCTAAACTTGATTAGAGGTATGAGATTTGCCTTCGTTCAAATTCGGAAGAACATATAAGTTCATCGGAATCAGTTTAAAATTCCTTGGATATTTATTGGGGGGAAGTAGGAAGATTGGACCAGATAACTAACGAATTGGAAGCTGACTTCGATAGCATTGCTAAACTATTATCGCAAGACGATTCCGGCCGAGGTTCTGTACCCGGAACTAAGCGGAATAAACGTGGATTAATTAATTTGAAAGGGCACAGTTTGAAATATTTGTTTGGCACAGCAGACGCGAAGGATGTCCAACGATTAAATAAGGTTTGTGATAACCTAGTCATTTGAAACCAAAGTAGTGCATGCAACTGAGCAGCAGTTGACTTATCTACATACGTTAGATGAAGCTTCAAGACAAAATGCACAAGACACAGTTGACTTAGCAAAATCTTTGAGAGACTCAATTCAAAATTTCTCACTTAGATTAGGCCGAAACGATGCAGATTTGCATGACCTACATGTGGCCATGGAGAAACAAGTTAGGTATAGTACTGCAATACGTGAAATAAAACTTGCAATGCAAGAAATGAAATTTAGTTTGATACAACTGCAGGAATCACTAGATTTAACCAGTATAGGCAAATTAAGCAGCACTTTGATTAACCCACATAATTTGTCGAACATATTGAAGCAAGTTGGTTTACATTTACCGGCAGGCACATCGATGTTAACTGGATTAACGGTTGGAGAAATGTACGTTTATTACGCAGTAGCTAGTGTACATGCTACTGCCACAACAAGAAGCATTCGTTTATTTATTGACATACCATTGAAAGCTGCCGATCGATATTTTGAATTATACCAAGCCCATCCCTTACCTTTTTTCCATAAAGGGATTAATAAATGTATGATTGATTAACAATTCACATATTTGGCAGTGGCTGAAGATCGACAGTTCTTTACAACCCTTACGGTGCAAATGTTGTCTCAGTGTACAAAAGACTTTCAGATTTTGTTTTAAGAAAACCCGGACACCAAGATTGTCTGGTGGCTCTGTTCTTTGGAAAGACAGACATTGTATTAGAAAAATGTAAACGAATTGTATTACATGAAAACTTTGACCCTGTATGGATTAGGTCACTAGATTTTAAATATTGGATTTATAGTTTGAGTTCACCCACTCGAGTTACCAACCGAATCAGGAGAAGTTGCTACATGGCACTGGAATTCTACCGAATTCTTCAGATTGTTATATATATTCCGAAACTTTCAAATTATTACCACATTCGTTGGGCCTAACCGCTGTTGGTTTGAACAAAGCTCACCTGATCCTACCAAGCATTGGCAATATACTAAAAACATATGAACAAGCCCTGTTGCAGGAACACTCTAACGATCTAACAACACTACAGACAACGGAAACAGTTATCCAACGTGCTACAGGACGAGTCGCCAGACCTGGACTAGATGTGGTTGAAATCTCTCGTACTTTACAATCTATCACACCTGGAGACACCAATCACATCTTACCTTGGCTTATTGGAATAATAATAGCACTCGCTTTACTTTTGTTAATATGTGTTATTCACACTAAGAACACTGAAGGAATGCGGTGGAGTAATTGGGAACGAATGTGGAACCTACATTCAACTCCCAAACCTGAAGCAGTGCCGATGCCAAAGCGGGACTAACGTAGCTGCAACGGAACCAGAAACGGAAGGTATAAATAAACCACTTACGCCGTATGTTCGCCGTGGTAGACTGGCAGCGGAGGTGTAATCCCTGAAGGTGGAGGGCTGTCAAGGATCGCTTCAATCACCTTCAGATCCGCCTACACCTGTTCGAGCCGAGAACGAAGGAGGAAACGTCGGGCACTCGCAAGCATGGAATACCCTGAGGGACCAGCCCGAGTACCGTCACTACCTTCAGCCACCGAAATACTTAATGATTACTCATTACATAAAATGCATTAATATAGTTGAACTGTGGTTAAAGCCATGACTTCCACAGGAAACCACATATAATCTTATTTCCTTTTGTTTTTATATGTACTCAATTAGTATGTGTTAAAAAAATGTGCGTATATCGCTACATTTTTAGTAAAGGTAGATGTTATGAGCACGCCTGCACACACATATATATGTATGCACACCTACACATTCACCTGCTTACATTTCTTTTTGATTTACATATTAAGTACTGATTATTTGATATTTCTTTACTGCATTTAGTTTTCTTGTTGTTACATATTGTATGAGTTGTCATCTCTTGATGCAAGAACCGGTAACGTTGCGGTCAGCTGCAACCACAAGTTGCATCCTGTAAGACAAGCCCACCGGAGTTCCAGTTATTAAAAACAATCGGATGTTGGGAAACAAAGGCGTACGTGTCTTGGAGGCACGTGTTGTCATTTTGGGGAATATAACGGAAATGATGTAAAGATGACACCAATCAGTCACCTTTTATAGAGTTCATTTTGAAATTAGGGCGTCATCAGCTAATAGAGAGTCACGTAACAAATATTACTTAACATGTGATGCTGAGTGGAAACACGTATTTAAACGGAGACGTTTCGGAAGTTAAACACTCTTCAGTGTGCACAGACTGTGATTTAACGGAACCTTGTCCAGAGGGGAGGCCGTCGGGTTAGTCCGAGCATTTGACTAACATGGGACTTCGCAGTATCGAACAGATATGGGTGTTTCTACTGGCATACTCATGTAAGTAGAGAACTAGACAATTTTACAAGCCACGCATTGTTAGCGCAGAATACAGTACAGAAAGTGACTGGTTAAATGTTGGATAGTCGAAAGATTGGTAGTTACAAGTGTGCTTCATATTCAATTTCTTTTGTATTAATTTCTTGTGTCGAACTAATTTTTTGAAATATATTTACGTCAACCAGTGTTGAGATTGACTGTTATAACTTTAGTAAGAAGTTACATATGGGTTAGGTGGGGATAGGTACCTTTCCTTATTCCCTTCCTACGGCCATAACAATGGCAAGGGCAGGGCCTATGGCTCCGTGGGGGATGGTGTCGAAGGCTTTGGATATGTCGAGCTGTATACTGTAAACGTCCAGACATTAGGGTCCTGTGGCGAGCTGGTTGGAATTCTTTAAAACAAAGAGTCATTTGTGTTAAGTGAGAGAGCAGGCGGGGGACTCATTGGTGGTCTCTCGGGGGAGTGAGCCAGCAAGGCAGTCGTGGAGAGTATTTTGACAGAAGAAGGTTAAAACTTTTATAAGCTTGTGTTTCAAAGAAATTATATAATAAAGGTACAGCTTATATCTTAATTGCATCATGCTTGTGTTTCAATACAATACTTTTATTTTCCGTCGTTTTAATTTTAATTTTAATTTTGATAGACCTGACGATGATAAGATTGTATATCGAAACATGTCGTCAATTTTAAAATGTAACAATTTTATGTGAAATTTTATATGATTTTAACAATAAGCTTGTGAAAACGACGGAAAATAAAAGTATAATAAAGGTACAATTAGATTCACAGTCAATTACCATCTCATCATTGCACGTTCGACCCCCGTTAACGACCCTGAGTCCCTAGCTAGCTGGAGCAAGAAACGAAGAAGGTGGATGGTTATAGTAAATGGCGCATCAACGTGGAGCGCGATATTGATCAAAATTAACGTTGAGATTACGAAAGTGAACAAGACGAACGGAGCGGGGAGTAACATCATTCCACCCGGAACTAGTTCGACGGAGCGGAACGAGAAAATGGCTGCAAAAAGGACTCTCCGAAGTGGTAAGATAGTGAAATAGACGTAGAAGCAAGTGAATTAGATATAGACGTACCACGTGGTCAGCTTATAGACACAGAAGCAGAAAGCCGAGTGACTGAAGAAAACCAGGTAGATAATAGTGTGGCGACCACAAATAATGATCAACTAACCATAATCCTGAATATGTTGTCCGAAATGAAGAAAGAATTCCAGGAATTTAGGAAAGAAAATCAAGAAAGTAGGAAAGAATTACAGGAATTTAAGAAAGAAATTAAGACAGATATTGCTAAGATAGATGAGAAATTAGAAAATAAATTAGAAGAAACTAAGGAGGAAATTATGAATGTTAGGAGAGAAATGTTAACGTCAATACGTAAAGCTTCTGAAGAACTAGAATAAAGATTAAATGAACGAGTTAGTCGTGTAAGCAACGATTTAGATTCTTTGTCAAAGAAGACTGACAACCAAGTTCAAACATTAGCTGAGGCAATTCGATTAAACAAAGATAGTTACGATGCTGGTATCAATATCATAAGTCAAGAGGTTATGGTTTTCCAAAGCCAAGTTGTGGAGAAACAAGAAATTGCCTAAAGTGGTTTGAAATCCATGCAAAATGAAATTGAAAATATGAAAGAGATAAAGCGCATATCAGAAATGGAGAGTAAGAATGAAATTCAACAATTGAAACGCAAAATGGGTCAACTTGAAGGACGCATGGAAGAGTTGTGGCAAAGAAACAATGAAATTACTAACATGAATGATTCTGTTGACGTTGATGTTGCTAGATCAAGTCGTCATGCAAATTTTAAAGTGCTAATCGGTCCTGTGCCTGTTGCAAAAGTTGTGATAGCTTTTTGTTGATTTAGCGATACCGACCTTTGAAAATTTGCCGGGGCAGAACGCGAAAGCCCATTTAGAATCCTTTATTGTCTATATTAAGTTAAAGAATATTCCTCCTCATTTGCAATTGTTTACCGCGGTTAAATATTTGAAAGGAAATTCTGTGACGACGCGGGCTTCTGGAATGTCGAGAAATATAAGCAGTTTCAAAGAATTTGAAGAAGCATTTTTATTACAATATTGGAATGTGTCGTGCCAATCAAAGGCCAGCGTTTCTCTTTATCAGGACCGGTACGTTAAGGGAAACCGAATGAGTTATGTCGACCACTTAATGAAATACGCGGTCAAAGCTAAATATTTAGATCACCCCATGACTGACACTGAAATATTAGAATCCATCAATCAGACGTTCCTGCACCGTACCCCCACCATGGGAAGCCAGCAAGCGGTGATCCACCACAAGTGCCAGCCCATGATCTTCCGGGAATATGTGTGTAAGTAAAGAAATTAAAATGACGAATTGTTGCTGTAATCACTGAATTGGATTGTTGCAGGCTGTTGACTGGTGGAGCTTTGGTATATTGGCGTATAATATGATAGTGGGGTTGACACCCTTTCAAAAACGTGGAGAAATATGCAAGGATTGTCTGTACGAGTAAGTACTTTGCCTGCCTGAGTGTTTTCTCTCGTCCAGCAATGTAAGCGGGCTCTCTGCGCTTGTCCCTAATCTGCTTAACGGTCTGTGATCTAATAATCTCCGCCATACGCATCGCGATGCGCGGGACATCCCTCAAAGACTGTTCAAGATCCAGCATTGCCTCGATTTTTACTAGTTAGTTTTAAAACTTGAATTCTTTAAAGAACAATGGACTGGCTGCTCAGCCTGGTGGGAATATCAGTGGTGTTGTTTTGGTTCCCACCACATCCATGCTATAAATAAAATAATAGTACTATTTCAAGACTTATTTCATTGCTACTACAAGAGGTCAGTAAAGTGTTTTACAAACTGTAAATCATGGCGAACAGGGCTTTGAGAAACCGAGTAGTTGAACTAGATGATGGTTCAGGTTACGAAGATAGTGACGCTAACAGACCAGAGTATGAACATAGACACGCTATAGCGAAAAGAGAGGTCAGCAAATTGCAAACAGAAAGTTTGGACAGATACACCAGTAATATAGAATATGTAAGATTTGAGGTTTTCACAGTCGAGATTCGAAGCTCTTCGCATCACGAAAGCAAAACGTCTCTGCTCCCTCTCCTTCCTACTACGATGCAGGGACCAAGGGACCGTCCCGCACTTTCTGCAATTTCATCACCATATCCATTCCGAGGCCGCCAAGAGGAGCTATCGGAGGACGAGCTTCTGCCTACTACGGGAGTGTATACACCACACGCGGCGCGAGTTGGATGCGATCTCCCGGGACCTGTTGGACATGCACCTCCGCCTCGCTGCGGAGCTGTCCACCGCGGACTGGGCCCTCATCGACCGCACCACCTTCGAGAGGGCTTCACGTGCTGCAGCTGACGACAAAGTCAGGCAGTGCCACGAGTTCCAACGACTGCATGGAGCTCAGCATGCAGGCCCGCGGACCGACACCAAGAAAGCGGTAGTTAACCTAAGCGGTAGGCCACTGGAGGATGCTGCCTACGCAGCCCTGGGCAAGGGCCTGAACTATTCAGTGGCCCCTACGGTGTTGCCCATCGAGGATTTCCTGAGCGGTGTTAAGAGAGCTGTTCGCTCCCTACCTGTGGAAGCGGCCGAGGAGGTCCGGCAAGAGACCGTTCGTATCCTAAGAGCCTCCAAGAAGCCGAAAGACAATCTGTCAGGAGCTGAGAGGAGAGCTCTCCGAGCCCTGCGAAATAACGCGGACCTCACGGTCCTTCCGGCTGACAAGGGCAGCGCGACGGTTGTCCTTAGCACTGACGATTACAACAGGAAGATCCGAGCCCTTCTGGAAGCCCCGACGTACAGGTTACTGCCCAAGGACCCTAAGGAAGCCGTAGAACGGAAGACCACCCGACTTCTCAAGAAGTCACCACTTCCAGAGGAGGTCATCCAACAGCTACGCCCCCACGGTTCGAGGCCCCCTAGACTGTATGGGCTACCTAAGATCCACAAGGAAGGAGCTCCTCTCAGGCCCATCGTAAGCACCATTGGCGCAAATTTTCTTTTTCTGGGGATCCTTGTGAATATGTGTGTGTAAGTAAAGAAATTAAAATGACGAATTGTTGCTGTAATCACTGAATTGGATTGTTGCAGGCTGTTGACTGGTGGAGCTTTGGTATATTGGCGTATAATATGATAGTGGGGTTGACACCCTTTCAAAAACGTGGAGAAATATGCAAGGATTGTCTGTACGAGTAAGTACTTTG